CACGGTGCTCTTGAAAACTACTGAGAAAGTACTTTCTACATTTTAATGCTCTTAAAGGAACCAATATTTATAAAAGCGATTATGTAGGTATTAACATTTTGAAGTCAATGTGCAAAAATTGTGCAATGGCGCAATGCAATAAGTACCTATGTGGCTATGTATAAATATTATATATTGTATTATATTATATGTATAATTGTCTAATATGTATTAATTAATTAGTTATATTATGATATAGAATAATATATAGCGATGCTAATTGTTAATAATATGGCTTATTCAAAGTTAATAGAAAATAATTTTGCTAATAGGTATCCATGTAATTATTAATTTATGTCATATTATATGTATAACAATATAATAACAATTATATATACAGTAACAATTTTTTTTAAATATTCCACTAAGTTATGTGACTGGGCTACCACCGTATTATCTTAAATCGTGATTATTATTATTCATTATTTCATTAACTTTCATGATATTTTAATACCATACACTATGATTTAAGATATAGTATGGTAATATGATGATAGACGATGGTATGGTTGCCCGACGATCTAAGATGAGATACAATTTAAATCTTAATCCTTGTGCTACCACTATTCTTATGGACTATTTTAAAATTGTTGTCATAACATAATATCATAGAACAATAATATTATGTACATAATACGACATATAGTAATAACTATAAGTATCTTAGTTCGTGCTAATAAGTAATATTGATATCAATTATCGTAGTGGCGTAGCCATGGGAAGGGCTGAGGGGCCTGCAGCCCCCCTAAATGTTGAGAAAATGTAAAAGTGATTTTAATGGTCGTATCGTATACATCCGTAACTTTCATCCGAGTGTGGTTATTGAAAAAATGAATAAATTATGCATAAGTTGTAGAGCATTCAAGAATGCAGCATTTAAGAATGAGGCACTAGGTATGTTTTGTGCTGCAAGAAAAGTAAAATTGCCAGAATTACATCCACCACCCGAACCATTATCGACGTTGGTATCAGCTAGGCTACACGAGCATAGCGAAACATATTTTAGCGAAGACCCGCAAAGGCGCAAACACAGTTCATGTTTCCAAATGATATAGGCAACAAATATTGTGCGTAACAGCGTAACAATTACATGCCAACATTCAAAGTGCAAGTTCAAATCTATTATCGTGCTGGACCATTACTACCAATGCCAGATACGGAAAATAAATTTTTCCAAATTTATTACACGTGATTACACCGATGTACAAATCGAGCAACGTTGTCGATACAATACGGGCACTAAACGAGAAACTGTCCCTGCATTACAAACTTTATTCGATTTTGTCGAATATTTAAACGAAGTTGTCAAATTAATATCCAACTGAATTCTTAAAGTCACTTGATTTGCCAGGCATGCCACCACACGTTTTATCATTGAAATTTGGCGGGCCCATCATTCTTCTACGAAACATTAATCTATCACAACATTGCAATGATACTAGGCTTTCAYTGAAAAAGTTGATGAACAACATCATYGAAGCTATAATTTTAAACGGAAAGTTTAAAGGTGAAGATGCAATGACGCCACGACCTGTGGCGTGCGCAGGAATTTGGTATGGGGGGAGATGTCTTAAAATTTATATTTTTTAATATTTATTCTTTAATATTATACAAAAAAAATTCAATYTAGGCGGAAATTCATCCTTCTAGCTTTTACACTAAATTCATCAATTATTTGATCTATAGATATAAGATAGTGGAATGTCTCGATGTTCATTAACGCCAATTCATTTCACCACGCGTGACTGCCCCGTCGTTTGACAGTGTCTCTGCTGGTATCACTTATCAGTTATCAATTATTTTATCACAACAAATATTTCCGATGATAAATTTTAAACAGGAACTTCCAAACTACACATTATTTTGATGAAATCTCTAATTCAAAACCCAGTTATCATGTTAAAGACTAAAAAAAAAAGGCCATGGGGGGATATATTCCCCATCATCCCCCCTTCTGCGCACGCCGCTGGCCACGAMTCCCAATGATTGTAACAGATATACCTTTCGAATTCAAACGTTTGCGGATTTCGGTGCTTCTCACCTATGCGGCTATGCAATGACCATCACCATCAGTGGCGTATCTTTGTATTTAAGCATAGGGGTGTACCTAATTTTTCGGGCTCCTTATAAAGTTTCAGTTGCTACTTGTTGATTAGGSTGATTAGGGGCTCAAAAGCCCCATTTATAGAACACATCTAAAGGGCCCTGGTGCAATGCACCTACTGCACCCCCTCTAAGTACGCTACTGATCACCATAGCACAAGAATAATGTGACGTGTGTGGACTAAATTTGGAAAATCCATATGTTCGAGCACGATGTATATTTGAAATTGACGCCTGACTGTACYTAGTCGCTTATTKATGTTGCTCACTTTGGTTTTCATTGGTTATTCTACTGGGCCGTCCTCACGACTGTAGTTGTTGTTTGGCCACCTATGCTCCGTCACCAGTGGAATTATTAACGTTTTCTTGGCTGGCCAGCTCTCTCCGTAAAAGACCCGTTCTTTTTTCGTAGTTTATATACAAACGCACTATCCACGTGTTTACCGTTATTAGTGTGCACAATACACACGTTTTTATATCCGATCGCATCAATCAATGCAATCACGATATTAGTTGATCAGGGGTTTTTCACCATCTCAGTTTGGTAGAACACGGCATATCAGCCACGWGCAACCTCACGGTAGCTCCGCTACCCCATCAGATCCGACAACCATAGCAGATCATCAAGGATCCGATAGCGGTGACGTCAAGCATCGGAGTGGTCAAAATTTGTATCCAAATTAGTCATAGATATTTCTTTCTATTATAAATATATAGTCTCCTTGTACTTGTATATATATTGTATTATTATTTTAGTGTTTATTCACTGGTGACTCAGTCCGGAGGAGTTAGGCTGCCGGCGTTAGCCCTAGCAGGAGGTTCRCGTAGCCAATACCATGCTTCTGTATATGAGATGCTCGCGTGTTGAAAAACCTTCTGATTCATTTATGTATGCACCAGAAAAAAGTACAGAAAATATTGTGTATCCAAATGCACTTCAATAAATACCATGCAAATAAATATAGCTGACCCGTACACTTCGTATCCCGTCAAAAATACTACCTCTCATATGGCTAAAACTGTGTGTAAAATTCGATTTCTGTGGGCTGTGATTATGCAGCAGTATATTTTTATACGTATAGAAACGGTTAAAATATATTGAGTGATAATTTTACAACGATATTCAGTTTAGTTTATCATTATGTAATTTTATTCGTTTTATTTAGATAAGTTTGACAATTCAAAAATTCAATTGAATGATATTTAGGCCTATCACTTTCTTTATCTTTTCACTATCTTCTAACCATAGGTCTAATATATCTTTGTATCAAATTTCGTCGCAATCAATCTAGCTGTTTAGGAATCTGTGACAAACAGATCAAGGTGATTTTTTATCGTGAACCAGGTAATATTTCAGGGAGTATTAGGAATTTTAAAATAATTTTTTTTTTAACTTTCTAGGTTTTACTATTTTACATTGTGTTACAATTTTGATAATTTTAACTTCCTCCCTTATTTGATAAAACACTATCAAAATTTGATTTTCAAATGGCAATACCTATTTTTGATACCGAAAATCTATAAATATACTGAAAAAAAGAATTTTAACGTTTACAGAATTTGAGTAATTCGYTTGCGACTTATTAATGCATAATTATTAGTTATATTTACTGGGCAATTTTACAAACCCAACATTAAAAATCAGAAGTCAATACGAAATTTTAGCTCAATTTAACAATACCCATAATGGTCTTAATTGATACAAATAAAATAGATAAACAATACTATTAGAAAAGAAAAGTGTCCCATCATCACACCCACTAACCGAGTGTCAGTGAACGACTAGCCAGCAGCAGCGTGGCTGTATCAGCTATAAAGTATAAAAATAATATTTTACAATTTACCATCATGGTTACACAATATAGCACTGGTTACTGATCCCTGGTTAGGTCTTATCACGTAATAGTAGATAAACGATAATAAATGGGGTCGTTCTAAATCATAGATTAATAATAATAATATCTCTATAAAAATGRATTTCAGTCTGTTTATCTTTTATGTTTCAAATTCCAATTGGTAGAGTGATTACTAATTGCGAAAAAAATTAATATAATTATCATTACAGTATTCATTCAAGCGTGGTAATTAGAAAAATGGATAATTTATGCATTTATTGTTGATCATTTAATTTTTTAGAGTGAAGCACCAGGCATTTGCTGTGCTGGCGGAAAAGTAAAATTTCTAGAATTACATACCATTCTTATTACTGAGCGGATTGCGACAAAATCAATTAATATAGAGATTTATTAGACCTATGGGAAGAATAGAGGTTAAGTTAAAAAGTGATAGGCCCAAATATCATTCAATCGAATGWTTGAATTTTCAGACATTTCTCGATAAAATGGATAAATTTACATAGTGATAAACTAAATTGAATATTATATATAATAGATTATTACTTAAACTGTTGTMTATTTATATGTATAAAAATAAACTGCTGGCATAAAAATCACAGGAAACTATTTAACACATAGTTTGAGCCATAAAAGAGGTAGGATTTTTAACGGGTTCAGCTAGTATAATATAATTTTCTATAAGATAGCAACTTTTAAATAACTATGTATAACGTATATAAAATATTAATTTTGGAGTGAATGATAGATCATTTTTGTACGTTTGGCGCTTATCTCATATAATAGCCCAGCTTAAATCGTGCTATAGACTTCGTGCGGCACTGCAGTATCGTATATATATTATATATATTATATATTATATATATATATTCTTCTGGGGAGTTAACTCAGGAATTTACTTGGYTTTAAAGTATTAGCAAATACTTTGTATAAAATATTTGTTATTAGTCTTGCGTGTAGAACCATTTTACGAAAATTACACAAAATATACGTGTTCCGTAATATTTAGTTCAGTGGGCGTAACGGATTATGTTTCTTATTCTTGCGATTTCGACCGATGATTGTCTTGCAAATATTTTGAATAGATGTGATTTTCGTCTTATGCTTGTCTAACAGCTTTAAACATTGACGGCTTTCGTATGGGTCGTTAAGATCTTGATTTTTGGCATTCARATCCACATCATCCGCCCAAGAGGACATCTTCAGTTCATCCTGCATCACGTCTTCCGCGGTAATCTTCTCAACACACGTTTGGATATTATCGTCGTCCCACCAGTGATGTTGGGTACAGTCATCCACGAAGTCACCGTGTGACGTACGAATGACCGTGCGTGGACGGTGGGTTTTTTTGGCCGGTGACTTGGAAGTGGTGAAATGTTGCGAAGTGTACGATCCGGGGCCGGACGGCATCGGACAATCGTCCACCATTTTGAACATGCCAATCCTAGTAGCTGAACCACGGTCTTTATCAACCAGCATCATGCCCACGCCCCGTATTACGCTTCGAGCCACGCGATTAGCCGCAGGTGRCATCCGGCCGCGATCTTTGGAATCGGCGGCCAGACAAGGGTCGTCTGACATGATGTCTATCATCCACGGCTTTAAGTCGTTGCCCAACACAAACGTACCACGGAACAGTTCCAAACAGTTTGGTCGTAGGTGGATAGAACCGGACGCCACGGCCGCTTTTATCGTTGACACCACGGATCGCTTGATCGCCCAGTATACSCCGTTGCTGTCTTCACCATTGTCGTTCATCAATTGCTGCTTTTGCTGTTGCTGCACCTTGTCCATTTTTATACCACGTCTCATCTTTGCCCCGAGCTGTTGTAGGCTGCAAATTAGCGCCGTCGATCGCACCATCCCGTGCAGCCTYCCCGACTTGAGTCGGTTGAAATGTCCGGACCTGTCGGAGTTCCGGTACAGTGAGAATTTTTGCGGGTATGGTTGCACGACGCACATCCGGTGCAACCACACCGTCAGCCTGCCGTCAAGCGTGGATAAAACGATCCACGTGTGCACGTCAGACTTGACGTTGTCACGGAGCAGTGGCGTCTCAATATACTTCTGCACGATGCAGTTGTTACCCACTCGAGCGCAACGATCCAGCACGTCWCCGATCTTGTTCAACATAACTGGCGGGTGACGTTGGCYAACCGCATCCTTGRCTATCCAAATGTTCTCGTAGCCGTCCATCACCGTCTGTGGCCTTGCCGCCATTATCTGGTTTACGATCATTCTACTAGAATCCTCCAGATAGCACAGCGCAGCATCAACCTCATCACCCGTCCCCGACACAATAAACTTCTTCTGGTCGTGCACGATCATATAGTAGTGTTCGAAAAACGTTTCCCAGCCATCTCCCTTGCCCGGAAATATTGTCGCCCCTAGCGATCTACCGTTTGATAAGTATTGGTGGCATTTAATCGCGGCGAAGTGAAGTGCAGAAAGAGGAGCCTGTAATATTATATGAGATAAAAAATATAGCCATTGTCAAAACGTTTCAAACAAATCGGAGGTAAAAATTGATATGGAAWAAATATCATCACACCTCTATATTTATATAACATCTATATAACTATGAGAAAAATTCAGTTTTTGTACAAATGAATTCAATATATTATTACTATAAGTGCTTAATTAAAAACATTATAAACAATTTTTGAAATTACATAAATTATCTATTCATTTTTTTATTATTATATATTTTTTTTTATGCCAATTAAAAAAAAAAATTAAACACTATTCTTTAGCCTTCGTGATCTGCTTATAATGCTTATAACGTCTTTGTTAGTAATTAATTCCTKATGGTCKAGAATGAAATTTAATTTAATATTTTYRCCAAAATCAGTAACTAATTGGCAATTGCTGTAGTTTAAAGGCTGAAGACTGTTTTTCTTTCGGCATGTTGAATAATTATTAGAAATATAAAAATATTGTTGTTGGATTCTAAACAAATACACGCGCACAAACTTCACAATAACAACTGAAACAGTCTATTCACAGTTATTCATTCTCCAAATTCCAGGAAACTATAGATAAATAATCAAAAATATAAGACATTTCCTATTGTTAGCGCCAACACTGGCATTATTGGTTGTCGAGGTTGTCACCCTGCGCTCTAGGCCGGTAGGACTGGACCCGGAGCGACTGCGGAGACACGTGACTCGTGAGTAAAGAGTCAGTTGAGTTTTGTATAAGCGATCGGTAACGCCGTTTCGTTACCGTGACCTCCGACAACCGATACAACCGTTCTTGTTATTATTTGTTAGTAATCCAGTACTTTATGATTTGCATGTTCTTATTAATAATAACGTTTCATTTATTAATACCGTACTTGTGACTTCATTTATTTATCCTGACCCGAACTCTTATATATAAATTACACYGTTCAAATATTGTATAATATAGAGAGTTAACACTATTTTTAATTTTATATCATTTTATGTTGAAACTGAATTCTCAAACATTTTATATAAATATAATTTACGGGTGAATATCCAATTTCCAACTTCAAATGCTCGAAAAAAAATAATTTGACTTTTCAAAGCTTGTGAARTGTAGGTAAATTTAAGAAGAATCTCGTATTAAATTTTTATGACTATATAAAAAGAAAAATTGTAGTGAATTTTTAGTTCAAAATAGTTTGCAAATTTTCATGATTTATACGAATTTTGTAGAAATTCGAAATTTAAATGCTCATGAAAAATTATAGTTGATATTTTTTTCCCTATCAGGAAAGATGCTGTTGAAATAAATTGAAGCATTTTTACTGTCCCAAAAAAACGATAAAAGACACAAAATAAAACATACATCATTATAAAATCAATACATATTCATCGCACCGTTCAGGATCTGAACCAAACGACTGGTTGATAAATATTTCTTATTACACGTGAAACGAAAATTTAATTTTAAATGCCAGTTGAAGCGATCGAAAAAGATCTATTCTGCCCAGCGGCATTTCAGCAGACRAAAGTGAAAATCCTGGARTGTAGTGAGTGGAAAAGTGGAAGTACCCACCCACTATGCAGCGATCTTAGTGATCTTACTATCCAAATCAAACTAAAATATACATGTTGGATACTATATAGGTGGTATGTGGGTTACTCCCATATGCTATTTTAAATACTSTAATATGAAACAATCATGTGACAAAAATAATATGTGCGTCTAGTGCAGGGAGGACAGGCWTTGGCGAATTGGAGCTCACGCCAGCGGCTTATGCTGCAAACGTCACCCTTGATTGAAAATTATAATACTTTCTTCCCGTCTCTACTCCCTTCCCTACAATATATTACCTACTATATTTGAACTCGAAAATGAATGATCAAACCAACTTAGTACGGAACAAATAATTGTTTTCCAAGTAYACTCACTTGGCCGTTTTTGGCACACATAGTTTGATGACCACCGTCTACGAATGCACGTAGTAACGACACGCAAGCGGTTAACGAGTAGTCTGCGATGAAGCTACTGTCCGTGTGTATCCCGTTGGCGCTTGCTGAGTATGCCCTTGGGTAGTAAACATCGAACTCAGATTTACCAGCCAAAGTTCGGCCACACAATTTCAATGCGGCATTTGCGTTCCTCGGGAATCGGTTGACTATGACGTTTGGGTTAAGCGTCTTCCAGTTGACGCCGCCGCTGTACTCGTCTATCCACACCAGACCGGATTCGTAACGTTGGACGACCGCCTTGATGCGCTCGGCGTTACGGTGTAATGATATTACTGTGGAATCTAAACATAGGGCGCAAATCGATTTATGTAAATATTAAAATGACAAATTGTACTTAAAAAATCAACCGTAACATCTTACATCAACACCGAATGAGGACTTACAATTATTATTGTACCTATCTATAAGCATCATCATATGAGTTATATTGACGTACTGTTTTAGTATAGGTACTTCTGTAATTTAAGAGAATATGGTTTCTATCTACACCGATCAGTAATTAGAAACTAGAGCAAAAATTAAAGACAAAATGAGCACACACATGTAAAATTTAGGAACGTTAAATTAAATTTAGTGGTAAAGCGTTAAAGACATCCATTTATTATTATCATTAAGCTAAAATCTTTTTTTCAAGAGTTGTTCTTTTAAGTTGTATGTATTTGTAATCTAAAAGTTAAAATACATATAGACCTATCTAACTATTATTATTATGCTTTCATTTGTCTTATTAGGAATTAGTATGATCCTGCAAGGCGTGGATTCACCCTTTTTAGTTTTTAATCTTGACTTAATTTAAGTTGCACAGATGTTTAACACACTTATGTGGGTAGGTAGTTATTATTAAAAATAAAATACATATATAAGATTAATCATAATAATTATTCAGTTCAATTGTCGGCAAGTACTTACCGTTACCGCCCCGTTGAAAACTGTCACCGTCGACTCTAATTTTGCCGATCCAGCCATTCTTGATCAACTTCGTTTGAATTTCGGACGGCATTTTGGCTACAGTGGTGAATATCTTTCTCTCGCATATCACTTGGTCTACTGTGCCCACCGAGTTTTTTGCGCTCCCTCGACGAAACTTGCAGCATGATGACTTAACGTTTAGGCATTTGGAATTTTTGGACACCGTGCTAACAAACTTCATGTTTGGGGAACCGTCAGGTCTGAACGAACCTTCCTTTCGTGTCCGTTTAGCAGGCCTGTTGCACGACGGAGACTTGCTACTTATGTTTCTGTTGGATAATATCTTGCTTCCGTTGTTTCTAAGTGCAATGCGATTGTTACGGGCCATCATTACTTGTAAAGGATACAATCTTAGGTTCTTAAGTATGTGTTTGTGATAAAATTTAAAGTGTGAATAAATACGTAGGATTAATTTCATAAATTAGCATGGTTTTAGTTAACCATAAATATAAATAAACACGGTGCTTTGCGTAGTGATGGAAACGATGTTATGTAATATCATACATGTTTTATTAATTACTGGTAACTACGGAATTTAATAACATATAATATTGATGATGTGTAGAATTTTGACTGTTGATAAAATTATTTGATATAGGTATCTGGTATATTATGATTATTTTAACTAACTGAGTAACTGACGTTTCCTTGGAAAAAATTGAAAGGCCAGCCATAGCTATGGTCAGTTAAATTCTTATATACAGTGGGGGTGAAAGAATCTTAGTATCAGGCCGGACGAGGCCAACATTTTTAGAGGGGTGGCCATATGTTTACTTGATGTATTTAAAAATAAAAGTGATGCCATTCTTTGCTCAATATTTTCATATCTAATATATAAAAATGTCGTGTCACAGCGTTAGTTATTGAACTCCTCCGAATCGACTTGACGGATTTTCATCAAATTGTCCGTGTATATTTGGTAGGTCTGAGCTCTGAGAATGCATTTTAGGTTAATTTAAAAATGGAATTAATCACCCCGGGAGGTGCTCAAACAGGAATTTTGATATTTAAGATAGCAGTTTTTGTTCATAAATGATTGCAATGAGTTTTAAAAATAATAATAATTATTATTATTGGTTACCGTTGGTTAAAAATGGTTTCTATTAATTAAAGGAGAAATAATTAGTACAAATTAGTATTTTAAAGTAGGTAGGCTGAGTTGTACTAATAGCCGGTTATTTACGGATTTCCTACCAGGGTGGCTGAATTGCACTTCCTGCGGCGAGTTCATTCAAAAGGATTTGAACAATCACAAATTTATTAAGGGTTGTCATATTTTAAGCGCAAAGTGCACGGGGGTCAGCTAGATTTACGATGGAGATTAAAAATTAATGGTTGCTTTGATTTATTGGATTTGAGAATAATATTTATTTGTTACTTTTTTTTTAATTTGAATATATTATATTTGTTTGTATCATTAAAAATTTAAAAATGCCAGCAAGACGTCAGAAAGTCAATTTTTGTCGTAGAACAAATGCAGCTACAAGCATGAGAAATAGAAGAGGGCAAAGAACAGACGAACAAATCCAATCCGATAATACGAATTTCTGTGATAGTAAGCGCAATTGCGTGAATAGTGATATATTCACACAATACTTAAACCCCGAGTKACTATATGAAGACCAATTTTGGCAGCATAAAATGTGGATGTCAACGATTTGAATTTCAAGATAATATAACAGTTGTTGCCAGGGGACTTGGTGTCATACAAATTTATCGATACAGTTTGCGAAATCAATGAAACTGTAAATTATTCAGCAGAGTTTTTTGAACCCATCAAGGCTGTGGCACGCGATTAGTCATTAGATAAACTAATAAAAGTTCTGTAGTTATGTTGTAATTTAAAAGTATTAAATTTATTTCAACCGTCCAAACACCTACAATGGCGCTATCGGTAGAGGAGTAAGGTAAGTGCTAATTTTAATAAAAGTAATTTACGTAAATTAAAGTAAATTAGCAAATATCAGGATAAAGAACTTATTATAGGTATCCTAAGCATGTAAATTTCTTATAGTTTAATTTTATTTATTTTTTAATTAAAATAGTAAAGATTTACCTAAAATAATGTGTAAAACTTTAGTTATGTTTGCGAAATTTCTGCGTAATTCATACAGAGCTAAACGTGGTTCACGCTTTTCATGGGTTGGAATGTACAAATGTACAGCTTTGTCAGCGATGTCCCGATTTATGTTGATATTGGATCTAACGTAATTAGGTAAATAATAGAATTGAGAAATTTAATAATCATAATAACTGGTAAATGTATTGGGGAGTTAAGTATTGTCAAGATTGACCGAGAGTTATTGAAGCATGGCATTGTGATAGAGAGGGGGGCAAGGTTGACAAAACTCTTAACAATACTTAAGGAGTATATTTAAACCCATCAGGAGCATACGGAATCAGGTTACAGGATCATTACGATTTGAAGTAATTCATAGTTGACAAGTTATCAGTTCATGAGGCAAATGTCCACACTGTGCCACACTTCATTTTGCCACTTGGCTTTCTCTGATCTTGACCGACAGTCGACGGATACGGTTTGGCATGCCAGTTGGCAAAACTTTGACAAATTACACGTGCCAACAAAAAGTCCACATCACCCTTGGCAATACCATTTGGCAAAGCCATATAGCATAGTGTGGACGCGCCTTTAGATGGACTGAAAAAGTGGGCAGCGACGGTAAATAAACAACGGCTGACTATCACTATCCATAACAAGAACGTGGAACGCTTGGAACGAGTTAGCCAATAAAAATCGTAGGTCAACCGAATGAGCATATTGCATATGACTAGTTAATATTATCTCCAACTCACCACCAGTCATATATCCGGTGCAAATTAAAATTTCTCGGACGAAAGTCAAAATCATCCAATAAAAACTAAGGGATAAGTTTCGAGAGCCAATGAGCTAACATACGAAACAGATCATCCGGAGAAAACTCGCGAAATCAGAGTTTATCCAGAGTTTCCGATAACCAGGTTCGGAGTGTCCGGTGAAATATCCAGAGTTTTCAGCGATCTGTGCGAAGTATGTGTGTGTGGTGTGTCCTATAGAAGTCATGGAAAAGCGTTACTACGGAGTAGTTTTTCCAGTGTAAAACGTGTGCATTTCCCTGACAACCTGTTTATTCCTAAAATTGAGTTGAACATGGCCTGTGCGTTGATCATAGACATAATAATATTATTTATTATTATGTCTATGGCGTTGATATACCAGAATTTGTTGGTAAAAGTGAGGAAGACATGGTGCGGTTTTGGTTCCAGGCCGAGGCAAAAATAGAAGAAATTGGTATTTACAAGGCTAGACAGGTAACGTTTTAGGCGTTTTAGCCCCTCAACTAAAGCCGTAGGCAGGAAAAGAGTTCAAATCTGAACTATAGGTCTAACAGAAAAAGCGATGGTGATGACGGTGATTGTAGACTCAAGTGTGATGGATTTAGAATTAATGTACATATCCAGCGACTAAAATCGTTCAACGAATTACAAGCGCTTAGCTACATTTCGATAATGGTGGCAAGGTCTTATAGTATGATATAAGGTGGAAATAAGCGCCAGAAACCAGATCCATCTCAAAGATTCAAACCCTCACAGCCTCACCTGGTATTGTACTGACATCTCTTTGATCAGACTTCAACAAAACACGGACATTTTGGATTACTATTTATTATGGCAAAGCATTTGTTCTCATGTAGACTACAAGTAGACAATTACTATAAAATCGTTTTGACTATAATTTAAATTATATACTCTGTAAAGAGTAGTTGCGGTGATGTAATAACGATAAATATTAAAAAACAACTAAATCCTATCATAGAAGAGATGGTCGTATTATTAGCTGGCAATTTTAGAAAGATTTCCTGTAATAATTTAAGATACATTAAAAGATTAAAAAAATATATGGTTAGCCTTATGGCAGCATATGTTAAACAATTTATCTCAACAACAAATTTGTTTTTACAACTGTATAACAGAATCGGGACAATATGTACCTAGATGTTCTTCTGTAAATCGAAGATGATTGTATTGCTACAAATGCTAATGGTATTATAATATTAAATCATGAATTCTGTATTGTTTTTAGTTCAGAAGAAATGGTGAGTAAAGTTTATCCTGAAGAGCAAATATCGATGGGAATTAATAAATGGTTGTGCAAGTCCAATTTTAATTTTGTGTATCCACAATTCCACACTATACTTAAATTTATATAGAAACTTGTTTTTTTTTTATATAAACATCCGAAGTTCAGATTCCAACAAAATATTAGATATTTAAACAAAGAATAACCATGTTGGTTATTTTATTACTACTACTCGTAAGCGCTATAGGCCGTAGTGACCCTTGGCTTCCAAAACAATTCCTCCACTCATCCCTATTTCCACATGACCCAACCATCTGATCCTGCCTGACTTTATAAATTTTACATGATTTCGCCTTCTAAAATCCGCTCTTTTTCATTGTTATTGTTGCTCTGTATCGTATCATCTTCCCTTTTCATTCACTGTTCCATATATTTTTCTTTCGAATATCTTTAACCTGTTCGAATCTACTTTTGACAATGTCCAGGTTTCAGCTCTATAGCAGACTACAGGTAGAATAAGTTTTTTATATAACTTCATCTTAGTAGTTTTCAACAGCAGTTTTGATTTGAGGAGTTTGTTATTCGCAAAGTATGCTAGGTTTACAGCCATAATTCTTCTTTTAATMTCTTCCAACATGTTATTACTGTAATTAATAAGGGAGGATCCAAGATACACGAATTCTTTTACACCCTCAAAATGTAATTGACCGATTGTTATGTTCTGGATCCTGCGACGCGTCTCCATTATGGATAGTCTCATGTACTTTGTCTTCTCTTTATTAATTTTTAAACCCGTCGTTTGTCCTTTATAATCAATATCATGGAAAACTTCTCGTATGGCATTTTCATTTCTTGCCATTATTAATAGATCATCTGCATAGGCGCAGATTTGCCATGAATTGTTCATAATACTTCCTGTTTTAATTGTATCTTTTACAGCCTCATGTAAAACAATATTGAACAGTGTTGATGATAAGGCGTCACCTTGTCTAACTCCTGAATCTATGTTAAATGAGTCACTCATTGATTCTCCTATCTTGAATTTTGCCGTTACATTTTCCAGGGTCAAAGTTATAATTTTTACTATTTCATAAGGAACACCATTTTTCGCTAGTGCTATGTACATTGCTGATCTATTTAGGCTATCAAAAGCTTGTTTATAGTCGACAAATAGTAAGTGTACATCAGTATTTAATTCTAAACATTTTTCCACTACCTGTCTTACTATAAAAATTTGATCAGTAGTTCCTTTTCCGCTGCGGAAGCTACACTGATACTCGTTCAATATTTCTTCAGAGTATATTTCTAACCTTTTTAGGAGTATAACTGATAATATTTTGTATGGGACACTCAGCAGCATAATCCCTCTGTAGTTTGCACATTTTGCCATATTTCCTTTCTTGAAGATAGGGCATATAATTCCGTTACTCCAATTTCTTGACATCTCTCCATTTTCCCATATTATACAGCATATAAGTTCAAATATAGCATATTTGAATTTCCTGCTGCTATTTTTAATCAGTTCGATTGTTATTTCGTCCTCGCCTGGAGCTCTGTTAGTTTTTAGTTTGGCAATAGCTGCATCAAATTTATCTCTTGTTAGTTTTTCAATCTGAGGTTGAGGGCCATATGGTATCTCTTTTATTTCATTTGTAAAAACATCTTTATTTAATAATTCATTAAAATGTTCTTTCCACCTTTCTATTATTTCTTGTTCTTTGTCTATTATTGATCCGTCTTTTCTTTTATACATCATACATGTTTATCCTTGGCTGGAATCCTTTTCGAATCCAGTTGATATTTTTATAGAACTGTCTGCTATTTTCCATATTGTTCATTTCCTCTATTTTCTCTACACGTTCTTTCATCGTTTTCCTTTTCTTTGTGCAACGTACGGCTTTTACTTCTTTTCTTAGATTTCTTTATGCTTCATAGTTTATTTTATAATTATTTCAAAATAAAGATTTTAGTCAAAATACTAGGTTCCTCAAAATAAGTTGTGTAAAAAATTGCTTGAGTAAGAGGGTAAAACAGAGACAACACGTGCAGGAATAATGACTTCTTAGTTATAATAATATGAAGAAACAAATGTAGAACTAAGAAATAACAAAATATATACTGTCTGATCAGTTTCGAAAATTTGTTTGAGTTAGTATGATATATTAGATAAACGATTTAAATTCGATAATATTTTTACTTTATTTTTTATCTACAATTGTAATTATTTTGTTAATATTGTTATGCAATAGCATTTATTACAGGTGGTATTTTTCTATACATAAATAATGATAATAGTCATTAGAATAGCATAACTCATAAGACTAAATCAAAACTTAACAGATAGTAAAATTGTTAAGATATTACTTAGTTAATTAAAACTAATAATAAATAATAAAACTGAACAGGTAATTAAAATAAGTATTAAAAATAAAAACACAGCAAATTATTATAATACACAAGTCAGCACATGAAAATTGAATGCATATGTTATTGTTAATATAAAATAATATGATTAATCAAAATCATATTTGATTGATACAATGCTACAGTTAAGAGGTGTACAACTATAACGATACAGTAAACATAATTTTTAACTAAAAAATAAATGTCTCTCTCWMAAAAAAAAAATATATATATAGGTAACATATTGTACATATAATAAAATATTTTTTGGTAAATACTAAATATATATTTAAATGGAAAATTTTGAGCAATATATGCAATAATGACAAGTTTTGAGTTTTATATCAGAAAAATATGTATTTTCAATTCTAACATTAATATTTATTAAACTATTTATAAGTCATAAATGGAGAATAGTACACATTATTAAGTAACCCACATTTTTAAAATTAGTTAAAGTATAATTAATTGATTACACAATTCTAGTGATAAAAATATATGTTTGATGAAATATTGTATTAAATATTATTTGTGTTTGTATATAATAAATAAACGATAGTCATAATTACTAAATGTCAACTGAAAATTTGTTTTAATTAACTCAAGCTAAAAATCACATTGTTACATATCAAAAATACAAGTGTAATGCATATCACATATACCTAAATAAATAATTATTTTCCCCTAAAGAATATGTATTATTAATCTAAAATTTAACAAAATAGAAAACCAAGATTTTATTTCATTAAACTCAAATATGAAAAAAAAAAAAAATGTTTAGTCAACTTGAAAGCATATTAACATAAAATAACAAAAAAAAAAAAACACATTAAATATTACTTTAAGATTTTAATTCTTTTTTGACCAGAAACTTTTTGTTTTTATTAAAATATAATTGAAACCCACTAATTAATTATTTATTTTTTGGAATTACATAAATATTTTATAGATTAGAAGATTTCGATTTCCAGNTTATATCATTCGATAATTAAAATTTAAAGAAACGGACTGAAAATGCAAATTATTTAAAAAACAAAAACAAAATATAAGTAATAACCAGTCTTTAAATCTCGATTATGGTTACAACTTTTGCACCCTGTCCTGTCTACATTTTTAACATTTTAGTATGATTTGTGTATTGCTTTGATTTAATATAAAATTGTAATTAAAATATACTTAATTATATTTGATTGGTGCAGTCATTTTTATTTAGCCTAAAAATTCCAAAATTATATTAACATATATTGTTTAGATGTTATATGATTAAAAAAAAAAAAATCAAAAATGTACAACCTAATTTGAATTGAATGATTTTGAATACAACTATAGCAAATCATAAAATCATATTTTATTCATACTAAGATTTTATTCTTCCAATACTATTATAGATAAAATGTATTGTATTTTTTGATTTATAGAAAATACAACTACTTATTTAAAAGCCTCAAAATATAAGGTATTATAATATATCAGTATTAAATAAATATATATAATTTCACCATTGAGATAGAACATAATTAAATGACAAAGTCTATTATTATTTCTTAAAAAATACATGAAGTTAATTAAAAAACAAGAGAAAAATTAAGGAAGACAAAAAATTATATGAAATATTTAAATTATATAAAAAATATTTATATTAAATCCTATCCTGGCTAATTGCTAAATGATCAATGCATGTAATAATTCTATATTTTTCAAATAATTTTTTTATACTTTGTTTGATTAATATCAATGAAAAAAAAAATATGATTGTGTGAAAATATTCTAAAATATTTAATATAAACATGGGATAGTTGTTTAGAAATTATTGATTTCTATGCTTGTTATAAGTTTTTGATTATTAGGTGATTAAAAAAATTTTCCTATAATAATACTTAAAACAGAATAAATGACTTAGATATTTGTTAAGGCTATAATAACAATAATTTATCAGTTATATCATGTTTGAAAAATGTTTGGGAAGTTAGGCTCATAAATATTACCTGCCTGTTACTGACAGAAATATATATCATATATATATAGCACCTTAATTGGGGAAAATCTTGAATTAGCCATCAATTTGTTTGTAACTATACATAATGTTAAAACTGAAATAATTGTACACATTATGTTGAATTTTTCAAAAGTTTTGTTGTCGTTTACGCTTCTGATCCATAGCATCTAGTATTGGTTGGCGTTTTGTCTGATAGCGGCGTCGTAGCTCATCAATTTCATGTTCCATTTCAGAATCCAAATTGGACATCCGTTGTTGCAAGTCATCAAAGCTTAAAAACTTCAACTATATAATACAAATTAAAAATTTTATATTATATATCTTAGAATGAAAATAAGTTTAATGAGTTAAGAACAGTAATTCAATACCTAAAATTCTAAAATAATTTTAAAAGTTAAATAATATATGACTTTTTAATGACATTTAATATAAATGAGGATAGATACTATTTCATTGTCTCTTATGATGCTTTGTAATTACAGTTAGTTAGCTATGATCTTTAACTAGAAGAATGAAAATTAATTGAATTTATGAGTTAAATAGAATTAATAAAATAAGGTCTACATTATTATTAATATTTCAATAAAACTTACAAAATCAAAGTCTCCATCAACAATTGGTGTGTAGTATCGATTTTGATGAAGAGCTGTTGGTTGATTACCATCAGGTTTACAATTTATTTGAGGCATAGGAAATTGATGTTGAGTTATAGTTTTTTCAGATTCATCAATCTATAAAAAAATTTATATTTAATATATTCTAAAGAAGTTAATTTATAATATACATTACTTGAGAAACATCTTGAGCAGAGCCTGATCTCTCACCAAACAATTTGTTTCCCACATCAAAATTATCATTCTAAATTAATAATAGTAAAAATATACTATAAATAACTGTTAAGATTCTATTGAGTATAAAATAAGAGTTGTATGACTATTTAATATAAGCTAAAAATAGTAGTTATCAATAATTACTTTTGATTTTTCTGCAATTTTTTTATCAAAATGATCTAAGAATAAGGGTCTATACTTTTTACCCGATTCTTCAGGTCCTGTATCATGCCCTAGAATATCAAATATATTACACAAAAAAGAATCAACTCATTTCAATCATATAAACTGTTTGATGCACATACTTTTCATTGTGGAATCATCTTCTCCATCACTATTAATTACCATAGTTCTCAATTCTTCAACTAAAGAATTACTTTTTAAACTTGTCCCTTTTGTTTTATCTGGCACAAGGGTACTGTCATCTACTATCATTGTACGACTATCAATATCATCTTCCTAAACAGAAAATAATTTAAACGATATACCCACTTAATGAAAATATTTAATCATCCAAGTAAATTACTTTAGAGTTTTGATCTTTGGATTCAGCTGATTTTATTAAACATGATGTATTAGAACGAAGAGTTTGATTTTCTCGAATTTCTCTTGCTTCAGCAATCATCTGACTTAAAATTTCTGGTGGCTTTGGGTTACCTAATTTAAGCAAGAAATCATCAAAAATAAAGGACTTTGTTAATTGAAAAATTACAATTTTTTAAAAATTAGTTAGTAAAAACATATTATTTTCATACCAATAAATTCATGATCTAACATTTTTGTGGCTGTTGCTCGTTCTTCCGGGTTTTTAATTAAACATTGACTAACAAAATCAATAAATTCTGGTGACCACTTATCTGGTTCTCGAAACGAAGGGGGTGGCTTAGTCGGTATCATAAATATGGCGCGCATTGGATGTATATCACCGTATGGAGGTTTGCCTTCAGCCATTTCCAATGCAGTTATTCCTAATATATAATATAACTCATTATCAGTGAAATGCAAAATTATTTTTCATTCAAATATCCAATTTAATATGAACTAATGATTATTATACCTAAGCTCCACATATCAGCAACACAATCGTACCCTATTTCTTGTATTACTTCAGGTGCCATCCAAAATGGAGTACCTATTACAGTATTTCTTTTGGCCATTGTATCCTAATAAATAATTATAATAATATATAAACTATTTATAGTTTCATGCCTATACACATTTAAAAAGGACTTACAGTCAGTTGTCCTGCAACCCCAAAATCAGCTAGCTTAGCATGTCCTTCAGAGTTTAACAATATATTTCCAGCTTTAATATCCCTGTGTATTTTTCTTCTTAAATGTAAATACTCTAATCCTTTAAGTGTGTCTGACAATATAGTTGCTATTTCGTCTTCTGACAGTGTCTTTTTCCTTAATCGCATTATGTCAGATACTGAACCAGCACCACAATATTCCATAACAATCTTTAAAAAACAGTAAATATTTCAGAAAATATATTATACTTATATAATATGAAATAAATAATAATAATAATAGAGAAAATAAATGATTACCCATAAATCAGTATTCTTAAAATATGAACCATAGTATTTAACTACATAAGGACTATCGCATTGTTGCATAATGGATATTTCTTTTATAATTTCCTGAAGATCGGTGTCCACTGGCACTTGCTTAATAGCAAGTACTTGACCAGACTCTTTGTGCAGTGCTTTAAATACACTTCCATAGGACCTATGAACAAACAGAAGTAAAGAGGTTGTCTTAAATTATTTTCAAAAATCATCATAAACATTACCCTTCTCCGAGTTTACAAATTATGTCAAAAACTTCTTCTGGTTGTCTAGTTAAGCTTTCTTCAGACAATTTTTTCAACTCACTATAATAAAAATGAAAATCATGTATTGGATAACCAATGAGAAATCAATGGTTGATATTTCAACATTTACCTTTTTGAAGACATCATCTTGTCAGGAGTCTTGTAATTAACATGGCAGAAATTGAATACAGATTTAGAGTTCGACATGTAATAATCTGTTTTGCTATTTACAAACAATAAAATACATAAATATTATTATATATATTTATATATATATTACTACATAAATCAAACAAAAAGAAGACAAAATTAATAAAAAATAAAATGTTGGTACAAAAATGATTAAAAATGATGGTAGTAACGAAAGGCATTTCCGTTATCATTGAAATGTATGATTATAAAATATAATTTCTTGTTATCTCGTATCAATTATATGGAATTAGGCATTTAGGCGGTATTGGAGGCTACGAAGTTGTTGATTCAGGCATCAAGCAATGATGACATGATGTACCTACTTATGGTGAGAAAATATATTATAGTTTAAGTTGTAGATATATACTCCAGGTTGGACACCTATAAGTTAGAGTAACCATGAAGTTAAAAAAAGTAACTCTGACTTGACATGAATGGCCCTAAATGTATTTAAATTAAGATCCATAAGACCATAAGTAATCGAGTACCTGATGGCTGAATTCAATGTTTTTCGTTTTTCGAATACAGTTTACGTTGACGTCAATGATATTTTACACTAGACCATCACTGCTGAAGTACTACCAACACTAAACAACGCCTGGTATAATATTTTGTTTTTGCACCAAATGACAAAATACACATAAAACAGGATGCATTACACATTATGTCTATCATATATTTTTTAGCTATTGAATCTGAATAGTAAATTAACGATTTACATAATATAAGTTACAAGTTATGATTCTACGAAAGACTATTCATGATGTGCGGAATGCGAAGAAGTATAGCGTTGCCTTTGCCAAACCATTATCTGAACTTTTCAATCAACCAAAGCCAAAGTTCAAATATTATGTCAAAAACCAAACTGTAAGACATAATATACATTAACTTTTTATCTTGACTAATTATATGTTTGAAATTTTATTGTTTAGGGGCTTTTTGGTGTACCGGAATTGATTTCATATGAAGGGTTTTATGCATTCAAGGAACGTACAAAAATAGATTGTGATAATTTAATTAATGAAATATGCAATTCTGATCGGTAATACTTATTTTTGCATACTATTGAATAAATTCTGTATTAAGTTTATAGTAATACAATTATGGACAAGTTGATAACTTATAAAAGAATGGTATGTCACTTGTATTTAAAGGTACTTTTTTAATCTTGAAAACAAGCTCAAATAAATTTATGATCTACTTAGTTACAAACTTTTAATACAGTGTTAAGTTAATCCTTAAAATGTAGAAACAAACATTATTTTAAATTAATATATATTCATTTTTATTCTGAGTACTTATTATATTCTACTGACTTTATATGATTTATCAATTAATTATATAAATTGTATATATTTTTTTAAGTATCTTGTATATGTTTATGGTATTTTAATTAGCAACTTAAAATGCTGACTCCAATTTTGTATATAACAAATGAAATATTTTATCACATTATAGAAWTGTAATTAAACTGTGTCTTATAATAGCAAGAGAAATCTGGTGACAATTTTTGACCAACTTTCCAATAGTCTTTGTTGTCTTGCTGATATGGCTGAATTCATTCGTACAGCACATCCAGACAAATTGTTTGTTACTGCTGCTGAAGATTGCTGTATTTCCATGAATACTATTGTAGAAAAGTAAATACTATATTTAAGTTGTGAATTAGGTATAATATACAATATTTATCTTTTAGATTAAATACCAACAAAGATTTATATACAAATTTAAAACAAGTAGTCCAACATGGTGATAAACAACCTATGACTGAAGAGGATCAACATGTTGCTGAATTATTTTTGTTCGATTTTGAATTGAATGGCATACACTTAGAAGAAAAAAAACGACAATATGTTGTTGATTTGAATAATTTTATTTTGGTTACTGGACAACAATTCATGATTGCTGCAGAAAAGCCTAGAATTGTAGATCCAACTGGATTGCCTGATGTCGTTTCTAAAGTTTTATCTAAAGAGTATATAACTGTAAACCTATAAGTATGTTAAACTAATTGGCTAATTATTGTATCAACGATTAGATTTAGCTCAGGAGGAAAATTCATAGTCGGACATCCTAATTCTCATTCTGAAGATCCAATTTTGAGAGAAGCTGCCTTCAAGGTTTACAATGGTCCAAATAGTGAATCGGAAAAATTATTGGATAATCTTTTAGAAAGCCGTCATAAATTGGCATTGACTTGTGGTTTTCCATCTTATGCTCATAGGTGAGAATTGATAAGTTATGTATAAGTATCAATGACTGATGTTTATAAACATATGTTTTTATATTTTTTTTAAGAGCTCTAAAAAACAGCATAGCAGAAAACCCTTATTTTGTAATGGAATTTTTGAATATCTTAAATACAGAGCTGAGGATTCGGTCTGTTTTTGATTACAAGACTATGAAAAGAGCCAATAACAATGATGTAATTATCTCCTGCCTCCGAATTTCTTTAATAAATAATTTTTACAATAAAATTTGTCAGTTTCTAAACTAGCGCATTGCTGTATCTATTAACTATAAATAATTCTTTTAATTTTTGTAGATTGTGTCACCATGGGATGTACAATATTTGACCAACAAGATTAAACAGAATCATCTTAAATATGCAATGATTGATTATGCATCATATTTTTCTTTAGGCGATTGTATGGAAGGATTGAATATGATTTTTAATAGTTTGTACGATATAAATTTATTATTTGAAGATATAGTGCCCGGTGAAGGGTGGGCTGAACAAGTGTACAAGTTGGCTGGTAAAAATATAATAACAATTTCTTTACTAAAATTCTTTAACCTAATATTAATATTTTGTTGTTTAGTCATGCACCACACAGAAGGCTTACTTGGATACATTTACTGTGACTTTTTTGAAAGAACAGGAAAACTTCACAATGATTCACATTATGTTGTTAGAGGAGGACGACAATTGCCGGATAATTCTTATCAAGTAAATATTGCCCATAAACTATGAAATGAATATATTATTCCAAAACAAGATGCTTAAAATGGTTATTTTATCAGACCCCAATTGTAGTAGTTATGTTAAATGTGGTATGGCGTGAAAATCATGGTTCAGTACTATTGCACCCGGGTTCTGTTGAAAATCTTTTTCATGAATTTGGACACGCAATACACTCTATGTTAGGCCGAACGCGTTATCAACATGTCAATGGTACACGTTGTGCAACAGATTTGGCAGAATTTCCATCAGTTTTGATGGAATATTATGCTACACAACCACAAGTAAACTAATAATAATATAATCAAACATAATGTATTTTGTGCTCTTAACATAATATATTCTAAACAGGTCATCAAACATTATGCCAAGCATTTTAAAACTAGACAACCTATGCCAGAGGACATGTTGAACAAATTATGTGCATCTAAATATTTATTTGCTGCTTCAGAAATGCAGTTACAACTATTTTACTCAGTACTAGACCAATATTACCATACACAAGCACCAAAACCATTAAATACAACTGACTTACTTGCTAAATTACAAGTAGAATATTATGGACTGCCATATGTTAAAGACACAGTAAGACACGTGAATTAATAAAACTAATTTGACTATTTATTTACAAATGTGCAAATATTATGTAGGCATGGCAATTACGTTTTTCTCATTTTGTTGGTTATGGCGCAAAATATTATTCGTATTTGGTATCCAAGGCATTAGCAGCATACACATGGCATGCATTTTTGAGCAATGATCCACTAAATAGAACTCAAGGTGAAAGGTTACGTAAAGAATGCTTAAAATATGGTGGTGGTAAACCGGCAAGAAAATTAGTCTCCGATTATCTCAGAACACCAGTAACACCAGAACTCTTGGCATCATCTCTAATACAAGATATTGATCAAGGCAATGAACTCTTTAAAATGTACAAATAAATAATAAAACCTTAATTTTCCATTAATAATTTTTTAAATACTTGGATTATCAGATTTTGATATTTTTCTTTATTGTAAAATTAAAAAAAAATCTATTGTTATGAAAAAAAAGAATATTGAATTAAATTTATGAAACAAGCTGACAAGCAAGTTAAATCTAAAAATCTTTGCTAAAAGTTAATAAAATAAATTAGAGAAAAATGATTCAAGTTTTTCTGTCACATACGTCAATATACCAATTATCTGTCATCTATAAATATATATATAGTGTTTTATAAAAAACGCAATTTTTGAAATCCTAACTAATTTGTTATTGTTAGGCATTATAACATGGCGAGTGTGTTATTGTAACTTTTAGGAAACGTTGTACAATCCTAAAAGATCATGTAACGATTACCGCATCAGCAATATTGAGGGTGTTCAGTAAATTCAAAGAGCCATGATCAATTTCGAACATCAATATACTCTTAGACGCAAACGAGCCCAAAGTTCAATTTTTCGATGTTGCGCTGTTATTAACGACTTTAGAGAAGGTCATATGCACGATATCACATTTCACATGTAAACCTCAACTAATAGTGAAACAATATGTATTATTAATAGTATATTTCTGATAAAATAAAATTGATTTATAGCAAAACCAAAAACTGCGTTCTTTATGAAACACCCTATATATAAATTAATTTCTGTCTGTCTGTCCTTTATGCATTCCTAAACAGCTGGATAGATAACGATGATATTTTGGTACACAGACATATTAGACCTATGGGCAGAAGATAGGCTAAGTTAAAAAGTGATAGGCTCAACCCCGGAGGGCCCAAACAGGCATTTTGAGATTTAGGATGGACATTTTGGTTTATTTATAATTAGTTGCTATTAGTGCGAAAAAAATTATTACTGAATTTCTTATTATTTGTTTCCATGGCACATGTGTCTATGGCATTAMAAGTTTTTATTGATATTTTGCATTTTTTAATCAAATTGCCAACAAATTTCTGTAAAATCACAGAAATAATGAATAATGAGTTAATTATAACAAAGTAGTTTTGCCAAATCTACCATAAAGTTTAAGAAATCCTAAGTGGCTCAGAGCATGGGCTATACTGACAGCCGAAAACTGATGGAAATACAATCAATATATTACCATTCTAAATGAAATTCCAAACGACATGACAATGTACCAGTCCATCAATATCATAATGAATTAAGACAAATTAGTCAAATATCAAATTGAATTTTTATAAATTTGATTTGACAGGCATGCCACCGCATGTTCTAACATTGAAATTTGGCGTGCTCATCATTTTTCTACAAAACATCAATCCACTATGACCCTGCAACAGTACCAAGCTTTCCATGAAAAAGTTGATGAATATTATGCGTTGGAAAACCTTTCAATTTATTTGTGTACGTACCAGAAGAAAGAATAGAATAAGTTGTGTACCTAAATGCACTTCAATAAAATATCATTCAATTGATTACTTGAACTGTCAGACTTTTCTCAATAAAACAAAAATTTATATAATAATAAACTAAATTAAATATTGTTGTAAGATTATTACCCAGTATATCTTAAGTTATCAATCTATATGTAAAATATACTACTAGCATAATCACAGGTAACAGGTTTGAGACATATTAGAGGTAGTATTTTTAACGGGCTATGAAGTGCACGGGTTCAGCTTGTATTTTATGTGAATTAGGCTTAAGTAACAATACATAAATATAGGGGCGGCATTTCGACTTTCTGAAACTTATGCTAACAAAAAGGAAGGTCAATATAATATAAACTAGTTATAACAAAAAAAATTTGTTCTCGTCACGCTTAACAATTTTATCCTTTATATCAATATTGTACACTTACAGCCATATTCCATTATCTTATTATTTAATATTACGTAATATATTATTCAACAGTTTAATTTTGGACATGTTTTATTGTTGTGGCATAGTGATTAGTAGCAATCACTTATTTGTTCGGCATTTCTATAAATAGGTTAGGAATCCAACGTAACAAAATTAACCTACTATTCCAATGCTTGAGACTAATCATATATGAAAAAAGAATTATCTTTGTACGGTGCAGAAAAATTATTTTTAGGCCAAAATGCATCTTGATAAATTTTAGGTATACATTAGCATATCTTGCAATATCCCAAATTACACCCTTCCTTAAACGTTAAGAAAAACATTGAAATGCGTAAACAAAATATATTAGTTCTATCATACTCTCCCAGGTCAGTGACTTACTGAAATAGAACATAACAGTAATAAATAAATAAATAAATAAATAAATAAGTCAGTTTTAATTATAAAAGTGTCTTATTCCTAAAAATATAAAAAACTGATTCATAAAAATTAAATTCAAAGTTATAATATTGTTTTTCAATTAGTACAAATTATTTTTATAATATGACTTAACAGTTGGATAGTTGAAAGCCACTACATGTAATTGATATAAATAATTTTTAAGTGCACATACAAATGAAACAAATATTACTTTGTTTAAAATTTTTTAACTGTCACTTAACACATATGATTTAAATAATAATAATAATAATAATAATAATAATAATTAAAAAAAAAAAATGATGAGTACTTTCTCAAAATAACGTTTGTATAAAACTAATGTAACAACATCAGATCAAACTAACACATTTAGATTTAAATAATAACAATTAATCAAATGTCCTTTAAGGAGTGCCAATTCATTGTTTCTTCAAGCTGAAAATAAACAAAATTATGGAATTATAAATTATGTAGTAATTAAAATAAAAAAATATTGATGTTTAAGTTGATATGAAATTCCAAAATCGAAAAACTCATTCAGACAATTTACAACATTATAAACATCAATGTTTTTTTTTTGTTTACTTATTTCTAGTTATAATCTATAATCATGACCAAAGCTCGAATTTTTTAGCGGTACAAATAGCTGAAATATGCGCTATAAAATGAGTTATAAATGAAAGTAGAAAAAATGAAAATTTATTCCGTTCACAATTTAAAGAAAAGGAGTCACTAATTTACCATTTGATATAATGTACCAGTTGCCAGATTCTTATAATAGAATATGAAAAAAATGTGGGTATTTACTATTTTTATTATGAATTTAAATAACATACAGTTAAAATAGTTGACAAACTTTTTATTTTTCATATCATATAATATGATATAAACTAGATTCAAGAAAATACAAAATAAAACTTTATATTATGTAAATTAATAAAAAACAACTAAAATCCTTAAAATATTACAAATATGCAAAAAAAAAAACAGTATACAATTTTATATTTAAGCCCCTGGACCTGGTGCAAAAAAACAATTTTATAGCTCAATCGCCTACTTTAATCTGAATCCTACAACAATTAATAAATGCTAGAAGATTTGCTTCTGATTATAACTTATAAGTAATTAGTTTGAAATAATTAAACAAATGATTATGTAGAATCTAGATTAAATTAATCAAAGCACCGTTTACTGGGTATTCAGATTAGAGGAATGAAAAAGCTTGTTATGAACTACTGCTAAATTGGAAATGTGTAATAAGGTTTTTGTGTAAGATATTATGATTTGATATGTAGATGGGAGCATCTGTAACTCGCTTGAGGGTATCGGATTAAAATTTTTGGAAATTATTAATATTCTAGTTACTGTGGTGCCTTGAATTTGTATAGTAATGGTCCATAATTGTTTGAGAAGGAGCTAATAAATAAGTAGTTAATTTTTTAGTTGACAATTAGTGTGACTCCAAAATTATAAACTTAGTTTAAGTAAGAAAGTTTTGTGGATGCATTTCATCAAAATTGTCTAACACAATATAGATTTATCTTTTAATAGTAAGATTGTTTTTGAAAAATATGTTAGAACAATTTATTATTATTTTAGAGTATTAATATACACAACATTAATCTGTCTCGTCATCTGGGTAGTAAAATTAATACTAAACATAAATTCTAAGGTAAACAGTCCATATCAAAAAAAAGCTCGGAAAAGGGGTAGGTAAATTAGGTATTTAACTAAAAATGAACTAAAGAAAAATATCTCAATCTGGTAAAAAATGTATTGCCCATGATATGGATACTTTAAAAAAATGAACATATATTAATTTTACCTTTGATATAATGGTATGTTAATGCAGTATGGTATATTAGGTGAATCTGGATCGGTTTTGTAAAGTTGAACACATGGCACATCGTCATTGGGTGCATTGACTGTATTCACTAAGACTGTATCATTCCCAATAATTGAAAATAACTTGTTGGCAATATCTGGAGTCATAGTATTTGGAGGTAAAAAGTTCATTGATACTTTAATAGCCTGAAAAATTAAACAAAAATAATTTTAATAAGAAATAAATAATAATTCTAGATATTTTTAAATACCTGAGGTGCAATCTTGGTCAAAAGCGGATCATACAACTCTAAATTAGCCAATTTAGTAATTTCACATTGTGCAATATTGCCATAGTCTATATAAATTATCTTGACCTGAAATAATAATATAACATATTACTTAGTAAAAATAAACAACTTTTGTTCCTAAAAAAAACAAAAATAAGGCATATTTAATCACGTTATTACTTTTTTATTTTGTAAAATGACATATTTAAAGTGGGCACCAATGTCATTAGATCATAAAATATTGTTGAAAATTATTTTAAAAAGTCATATCTCTCATTATTTTACACTGGCATTCAATTTTTACAACATTGATATATTGTTAAAACAAATAACACAAGAGTTATTTAAGGGTCTTTATAATTCTTATTTTTTAAGTGTAATTGTGAAATATTAAGCAATGCTAATAGTCAACAATTTATTAATAATATTTCAATACCAAAATAAAATATGAAATTTTCATAGGGTGTTCATATACATAATTATAGCAAAACTTAGTAACACACAATGTTGTCAAGTCAATAGGGGGTTCTGCCTTTCAAAAATACTACAGTTTTGAAACTTGAAAAAAAGTTGTCATAGGGCCCTGCCTGATTAACCAAAAAAAAAATGCGCCATCCATTTAAGGTCCGCAACCATCCGCAATCTTGGATTTTAGGTGAAATTTTCCAATTTATTACAATATATCTAAGTTAATAACTTGTAAAAAAGTGAAACATTTCACCAAAAATCCAAGATGGCAGATAGTTGAGGCCCTCGGAGGGATGGTGCACTTTTTTGTTGATCAATCAGGGCTCCCCAAGACAAATTTTTCGCCAAGATTCGTAACTTTAGAAGTTTTTGCAAGGCAATGCCTTCTTGGGAGCCATATGACTAGACTAATGAGGAAAATCATCCAGTGAAGAACAAAATGCAAATATTTCATCAGCTTTTTTAAATAAAGTATATTTTTATCATAATAGTACTAACTTCAGAGTCATTAATTATATCAAGAACTTGAACACGGCTCCATATATTATCTGCTTCATACTTTGTTATGTACACTTTGTCTTTTATAATATCTTCCTTACTCTTCAAAAAAAATTCTGGGTCTAAAATTTCATCATTTGGCAAAATTTCTTCAAGTGACGTAACAATGTCAATGTTTAATTGTAAATATAAATGACCAGACTCAACAATAGATGATACATTTCCATCCACAATAGCTTGATCCTGCACAATAATGTCTTAGTATAAAATAATGGACAATAATGATATAATTTACCTCAAATAATGGAAGCTTAGTAGAAGTTTTTTCTAAAAATCTTTGAATAATCATGTCATTTACATTAACTCTTCCTTTTTCATATAAAGTGACTCTAGCACATCCTTCTTCTAAAGAATCTGGTACAACAAAGAATGTTTTATTCAAAATCATTTCATCCAATAATTCTTTTAAACCATCAAATGTCCCAAAATTTTCTAGTCTGGTTAAAATACATTCAATTGCCTAAAATTACAAAACAAAGTATATGTTTATTAAAAGTTGCTAGTTTTGAAGAGGATGTCAGTGCACTATTTGTTTTATCTCTTTGGCACATACCAACATAGACAAAACACATTTACACAGAATCGTTTTTTTTTTTAAGTTATCAATAATATTACTCACTATCTTTTTTTTTAATGGGTGATTTTACTCTAACATTACTTAAAAACATAGAAAAAATTATTCTGCGAGTGGGTTAGAGAGAGAACAAATAGTGCACTACAAATTGATGCTACTAGAATTCAATTTTTAATTTTAAAAAAAGTAGCAACATTGGAATAGTAGGCAATACAACTATTAAAATATCATTATCTAGTGAACAGTGAACAAAAAAAAAAAAAAATGATTGTGATACAATTATAAAGAAATATAATATAACATAATATAAGATATTAGGGTTTTTTTTTTTAATCTTACAGAAACATATTCCATTGGGTGGTTATTTTTAAATAGGTCTTTTAAATATGAAGCAGGGTACAGTTGGTTTGGAACACATGTGTGCATAGCAAGGTTTTTGGCATTAAGAACCTGGATGGTCACTCATCAAGGAACTAGTGGAAGCAGGCAGTGCATACACTTAACCACAATGCGTGAATGTAATAAACACGCCACCACACCAAGCCACATCATATTTTTGATAAATTTAAACTATGATAAAAGTTGATAACAATACATTGTTGTATTTTTTAGATCTCTTTTACTAAAACACAAGGGGTAGCTAGTAAATAGGTAATTAAAGGCTTATATATAACTCCTGTATTTATTATAAATCAGATAGCAACTCTATGTCATTAATAAACATGGAAAATTATACACAACATTTAATTGTTATGAAGAAATGTTTTCATGAAAACAAAGAAGCTTAGTTTAAAATGATAGTAACTTTTTGTCAAAGTTGTGATAGTACTAAAATAAATAAAATTATTGTAAAATTATAATAGTAACCTGTATCAGTTTTTTTAAACATAGATTTTACCTGAGTTTTAGGTTTCATAAAAATTGGTTCTAAGTAACAAATCTGGTCTTTGGCAATATTCAATTGCTCGCCAGTGTCTATCATGAAACATGTAACAGTACCATCTTCATTATTAGCGAAAGATATTTGTACTCTATGCCAAGATGAATTGTAAAGCACAGCATAAAATTCACCTTCAATCACTTGATCAGGGATACTTAAGCCTGCTGTGTTCATAGTGTCATTAAATTTTGCTTGCATTTGAATAAAGTTTTCCTACATACATAAAACGTTTAAATTTAATATAATTATATTTACATTATTAATAAGACGATTAAAATACTTACATCTGCACTCTGACCAACCAAACGAATCCAAACATTAGTTGAACCATAATTAGCAGAAACGAGAACAGATTTTTCAGAGTAGTCCTCAAATAATAATGGAGTACCCGGAACAAAGTTTTGTTCTTCTGCAAAATCTTTATTTGTATATTCATGACCATTTTGTTGATTATTTTCAGTTTCATTCTATATAGTAAACAAACAATGATAGTTGATAATTTTTTTTTCATTTATTGTACAGACAAATAATTACAAGATATATAACGAGTTTATTAGCGGCTGCAAATTTATCAAATGTAAAATAACTAAAAACTCCTAAAAGCTGATCCCAATTATTAGGCAAGTTTTCATGAAATTCCTCTCTATACATACGTTCCAAGAGATCACCCATAACACCAGTARTTTCATATCCTTGTTTTAAAAGCTAAAATACAATACATATAAGGTATTAATGATTTAAGATTAGCAAAATGTATTGTAATACCTTTTTAACGCAAGATGCCATAGTATTAATATCATTAGTAATTGGATAAATGACACTTTCCCCATATTGTTTTTTTAAAGTAGTTAGAGCGTGTTTTGCAGCAACTTTTTGTGCATAATCATCCGTATTACAATCTACTGGGAATGAACTACCAACACTTTTTTCATTTACCTAAAAAATTTATATAAAATATTTTAAAGTAATAATTCACACACACACACACACACACGCACGCACGCACGCACGCACGCACACACGCACACACGCACACACACAAACACACACACACACACACAAACTGGTTCTGCAAAAAACATCAAAATAAATTGGGAAAACATCTAGTTGAGAGCACATGTGCTTTAATTTTATTTTTTATTAAATTCTTTGACATATTAAAAATGATGGATCAAAAGTAAATTTATAATTATAATATAAATAACATATAAAAAAATGATTTCACAAATTTCATACATGATACATTAAATTTTAAACTTAATTTACTTTTATTTTTATAACAATATTTTAAGGTAAACATTGAAAGTTAATATGGTTATTTCTAATACTATGTTATACAATATGTATACATTTTTTTACTGCCCATACTTATTTTGAACACAGAATAGAATATTTTGAACCATTAAAGTTAACAAATATCTGATGGTAGTCTTTATCAAAATCTATGATTTAAAAATAAAAATTGAAAAGTTGCACATGAGCTTTAGCTAGATTTCCATATACTAACAGCTGAACACTTACCTTAATAGTACAAATGTGTGTTAGTTTAAGTATTTTCCCAGATTTTTCTTTTTTCACCATAAACTCATAATATGGTTCTGATAAGTTTAAATTTTTTAAATATGTTTCTAATTCGTTAATATAGTCCTTGTCTTCTTCAAACACCTAATAATTAATAATTAATTTTAAAATTTACTTTTGTCTCTCTCACTACTTAAAATAAGTAATTACTTAACGTATAAACACGGATAAACAAATAAAATGAATGATATGGTTAAAAATATAGCCWGATAAGAGTTCTATGCTCTGTTTTAAGTATTAAAAAAAAAAACATTTTTATAATTTTCATACCACATAATAAATCATAATCATCATAACCCAGATCTATGAAAATACAAAATAAAACGTTATATTATGTAAATTAGCAAAAAATAGCACCAAAACTTGAAAAATAGCACTAAAAACCTAAAATACTTCAAATTTCATAAAATTTCATATTTGGAGTTCCTGGTGCATAAAACAAATTTATAACTCACTCTGCTATTTTTATCTCTATCCTATAATAATTAGCAAATGCTATGAAATCCGAGCCCTGGTTATCAATGTCAGCTTCCACAACGACCTAAAAATTGCTACTATCAAACAAACAGCTGTCAAATTCCATATTTGTCTCCACTTCAAAACGGCCAACCACCCCATCGCTCAACTTCACTTCAACCATCTACCAGAAAACCCGCCAAGACTCCTCAAACACAACTGGCCAAGAGACCTACTCAAAATATGATACATACTTTTTTAGAAAATTATTTAAGCTCAGGTGCTTCTAATATGAAGCCCCTTCATGTCTTTCATTGTCATTTTCATCATTATGCTAAACATTTTACTTATTGTGCCCCTAGCACAAATTGTAAATATTCACTTAAATAAACGATATTTTTTATTTAAAAAAGAAAAGTTTTTGTTGCTTTAACTTTGTGTCTTGAAAATAAGGGCAATKATAATTTAAATAAATTATTAATATTAATCGATCAAAATTTAATAATTTTTAAATGTGTCATGCTATACTAATGATATATTATAGATTCATTATATTGTATTCCTTTCATTTTCTTGTAAAACAGCATTTATTGAGACAGATACCAACAAACTCAATAGAAAACTTATAGTGTAACATATAATTTGACATTTACATTTAAAATTTTTGACTTATCAACTAAAATTAGTTCAATGCTCAAAACCTCAAGCATTTGGATACTTTTTAGCTTAGAAAACTGCATATTAAAAATATTATGTTTCATGATACATACAACCAAAATATAAAAATGTATGTAACATATTTTACTGAATTTGTATGATTTTGTGTATTTCAAGATTTTAAACGTACCTATTTATGCATAATATTATGTTTAATGTTTATAAATCAACAACAAACTAATTTTTAATAATTTTTTTTTTTTCATGTTTAATCTCATATAAATACATATTTTATAAAACTTGCTTGCATATTAGTTTTTTTAATGTATACATAATATACACAAATTTTATTTTTTAGTGTATACAATTCTGAACTCTGATTATTTTATCATTTCATAAAAACAATTACTTATAATATTAATATACTTATTTTAAACTTAATTTTATTATTATGATTTAATATTATTAAAATTTAAATTAAACATGAGAAGTCATTAGTATCTAATACAAGTATATGTTAAAAAATAGTTACACCTATAATCGATGGTACCAATTGTATATTTGTAAATAATGAGTATACTTCCACAAAAATTATCGAATAATTTTTTTTTTGTGTTTGGCGCAATATAGAGTTGGACTCTCTTGTTAAAGAACATAAATATTAAAATTAAAATTATATGGCATATTATTCTAAATATTTAGTGACAATAATGTGTTTATGTTAGATAATATTAATATAACTACCTAGGTACCTAGTTTTAACTAAAATGTTGATATAATGTAACTGTGGTTAAATTAACTATTCATAAAATGTTAATCTTTCACAATTTGTGATCATTCACATACAGATTTAGGTATCACAAATTAGTAATTTTTTTCACAAGTTATCAACTCTCGAACATTTCTATTAATAAAATAAATAATTATGTACAATTAAATAATGTACCTCATTTTTAAAGTCTTCAACTTCATTACTTAAATCTTTAGCTGCAGCACATGGTTTTTCTGTATTCGACTTACTTTCAACATCAACCTATTAAATAACATTATACATTGATTATTAATACTTGAAATTATAAATTTAATATGTCATGAATATTTAGACCATACTAATTTGCGAAAATCATTTAACAAAGATTCAAAAGTTTTACACGACTCTTGAATAGTTTTTAAAACATCAGTAGAACTAACAATAAACATTTCATAATTCATGATAATTGAAATTAATGTTGGTAAATAAAAAAAGTTAGGATTTTTGGAGAACAAACTAAAAATATATACGTCAAAGAATAAGTTTTTATTATGAAGAAAAATTGAAAATCAGATAATCACAATTTTAAAAATATAATGGAAGTGGCTTTTTTGCGTTCTAGGCTGTGATTGGTCTAAATATTGATAAACATAATATATTATCATTACTAAATATCAATATACCTAATTCAAATGTAAATTTAATTACATAAAAATATTTACAAATCATGTAAATCAGTTACTCATTTAGTGATATTATATCATATAATTGGTAATCACTAATCAGTAAGTATAATTCACATGATACATATTATTTTGTATAGAGTTATAATAGTCATAAACTCGTAATTATAGATATCGATCATACAATTCTTTACAGATATTGCAAAACCATATTTTTTTTCCTTGTAAGTTAATTAAAATCCAAATATAACTAGTTAATTTAAATTAACTTTTTAACTTGTTAATGTCCAGCCTTGGATATTATTGATGTTAATTGTAATAATAACAAAACCTTATTGTATCTCTGAAATATATTATATATATATATATATATATATATATATATATTTGTGGATCACCAATATTTTAATTACGTCTATTGTCCAAAATTATCCTTATCTGGATTTGCCAGGAGGCGATGGTAAATAATTGTAAATTACTGCATTAGTCATTAGTGTAATTATATCCGAAGTCTGGACTGCGTCTGCATTTTACCGCCAAATACCAATACAAACCGTTGTATTACAGTGTGTATCGTATGCTTTAACATTTAATATTATAATAAATAATAATTGATAATATATTGGATAGTAAAAGTCAATATATTATACTACAGCAGTGGCAGTAAAACCATAGATAATAAAAGAATTATCTATGGGTAAAACAAAGTCAGAAACAATTTACCACTACCACAAACAAAATAATTGTACTGCCATCGCTGCAGTGTATATCCACCTTTATTATCCAATACATTGTTATCAATTATTGTTTATTATAATATTAATTCTACTGACATATTTTATTATTTTATACTTTAATAGTGTAAGGGGCTTTACTTTCAACAATTTATAAATAATTGATAATTTTATATAAATATGTAAATATGTACCTACATTAATTAATATTTAAAAATTAAGATCAATGATTAAATCACATTATCCACATTTCCAAAAATATTAATATCATTTAGTCTACCATATTAAACGTTAATTATTCAGAATGCCAGATTGATGTATTTTAATAATTAAAAATAAAGCAAGCAAATATACAAACTATTATAAAATCTCAAATAACAACAATTAAAAACATATATATTCATATTTCAGACCACATTTGAATATAATATTAAGTTAACTGTGCCGTCTATCACGTGCCCACTGGTTTAAATTTTTAATTATTAACTAACAAGTATTTATTCTAGGTATATTTGAAGTCACGTGGACGTGGTTGATCACATTTCCAATTTTTTCGGTGTTGAGAAAAGGTACTTTAATTTTAACCACGGTTTAGTTGGCAATTATCAGTTACCATCAAAYGAAATATACATACAATGAATCACAGTGTTACTTCACTTACTTCTTACTATTTTACTGCCAAACTAGATACATTTCTGATAAAAGTGGTAAATAATAAATTTAAGACAATTCAAAAATCACCAAGACACCAAAACCCTTACGAAATTCACAAAAATGACTGTACTTCCTAATTCCCTATTATAATCTAATTTATTCTACTACGTACTGCTAACTATTTTTAGCAATTATTTGATCAAGAATTGTTAAGATAATTTTTTAGTGAATTTTGGATATTATTGCGGTTAAAATGTATTTAAGAACCTATTTTATAGTTCTTAGGGACTTCAAATCCGTGCCATAATTATTACTTATTACTCRTTTGAAACATTTTTTATTTAGGTATTATAATATAGGTACTAGGTAGATACCAAACCTAAAACTGTCTAATAATTTTAATTATAAGATTAATATAATATAAAACGGTTCCCCCTAAAGATATTCCTTGTACGCCAGCTTTTAAAAATATTCCCGTTATAAATATCCCAATTAAAAATATCCTTTATACAAAATATCCCTAGTAATATTATCCCTTGATTTATATTTGTATAAAGGGTGTCCCTCGAGGATTTACTCATTGCAATATATCACGAAATAATGAAGATATCAAAATTCTAGTTTTATAATAAAATTTACAGGGATAAGAACTACAATTATTTAATTTTTAAATTTATTTTAATGTTTTTGTAAAAATATTAAAAAATTTTTTTTTTATTATTTAATTATTTCCAAAATAATTAAATATAGCCATTTTGCGGAGTTTATCTATCTGAAAATATTAATATTTTTTCTAGTTTTGAAGAAATAAAATATGATTATATAATTTATAACTATTAGGAACACGCCAAGTATTCGGCCGGCCGAATGGGAAAGCACGCGGCGCAGCGAATTACGTGTTTGATAACATTACGGTGTTAAATAATTCACAATTTTTCTCAAAACTAAAAAAAAAATTAAAAATCAGGAAATTAATGAAAATAAAATTTTGAAACGTCAATATTTTCAGAAAAATAAACTCTACAAAATTGCTATGGTCAAAATTTTAGAAATAATTAAATTTAAAAAAGCGGCTAAGTCGTGGATGTCGCTCTGCTGTACACTGTAGGTTACAAGTGAGTTACTGTAATGGATGGAATTAAATTTGAATCCAATGATATTATATCATTGTATACGAAAAACGATTCTGAGCGGAGACGGTTTATCTGTCTAGGATATATTATAGATTATAAAAAATGTTCAAAATATCTTAATTCGATTTTTTGTGATTTTTACGTATTTTGTCAAAATTCAAACTTTGAATGCTTATAAAAAAATCGTGACTATGTATTTCTTTTATTTTTCAACTGCTATTGTAACAATATGTTAGAAGCCTTGCATTAAATGTTCAAGCTTTTMTACCCAACAAATAAATTTTTATCGATATTAATTTAAGAAAAACTAATAATGATCAAAAATTGCATATGCCTTTAAAATTTATAAAATAGTTCAACTTAAGTCCGAAAGTGGATAGAATATTCGGTAAAAATTTCATGTATCTATGGTCATTTGTTTTAAAGTTGTATCAAAAAACCAAAATCGATTTTGTCGAAAACTGATTGTGCGTAAAATTTACCGTTTTCCCTTAATTTTTAGTTTGCTTTTCCGATTATTTAGAAAAATATAGGGAATTTTTTAATTTTGACCCCCCAAAGTACCAACTAGATTCACTTTCTAATCGAACGAGGCACTGAAGTCGAAAATCGAAGTACTTTCACTATCCAAAAACGTGATGACACACACAAAAAAAATCATGGTAAAATCAATACATTCCTCGCTCCACTCAGAATCTATAATATATTTTTAACTTTTTTACTAAAATATTTTTTTATTTTTTTTTTTTATTTAATAAGAAAATATACAACTATACAATTAAGCACAACAAGTAATAGTGATKATGAGGATTACATAACATGAAATGGCACGATGTAGGAGGGCTCCCAATGGAGCTACCTACTTGGGTATTTTATTAATTAATTGTTTGAGTAAGAGTTTGTCATTTAACTAGTAGAGTATCAATGAGTTTAGTGAGTAGTGCGATAAGGGGGCTTATCAGGGAT